TGTCAACCTGGCATTGGAGCAACTGAAAATATATGCTTAATATAGATTTGTGTAACTCAATTTTGATTTTAGCAAGAATAAGTATTTAATAAAGCAATTTGAGTGGTAACTAGAAAGGGAGAAATTGTTACCAGTTTTTGTAAAGGAACGTAAAATCAGATTTTACTAATGAAGGAATCAATCTCATAAAGTCATCAGCATGTATGATAGTTTAAGTTAATATGGTTCATATGTTAAGGTTTGGAATATTTTATCTTACCTTATGATCAAGCACAAAGGTTTTCACCAGAGCAACTGAGAGAGTCTACTTGGGGTATTAACACAGGCAACAGGCAATAGCCATAAAGAGCAGCTTCTTCCCATGAAATCAAAAAGAGATGTGAGGTTGTCCCCAAAGTCATAAGAAATTCTGAAGTGTCAGGAAAGCCTATTATCAGGTATTAGAGCCACACTTCAGGACTGTGTGCTGGGGCAGAGGGGTAGACACAGAAATGCAGGAGTAAAGTCTGCTGGGCTCTTGTCCTAAAATTTTGTGGGTACTGAGCATATTATCAAGGCAAGAACCCATATACAAGACTATGCCTGTGATTAGCTCCAAGACTGAGACCATAACCCCAAATGTCCGTTACTGAATGCTTTCTATGGACCTGCATCTCCACAAAGTACATCGCATATAATGGTTTAGTTTACTGCAAAGTGAATTCCATGAACCTTGTACAGTAGAAAATATGAAAAAGCACAGAGACAACAATTATGGGTAAAAATATGATAAGCAAAAAGGATAAATAATTAACATCAAGGCTGACAATTTCCAGATGAAATCAAGGAAGACAAGTATATACAGACAAGCACTGACTTTTTATTATGTAGAAATACTCAACCATAAAGATGACATTCTCAGGTGTGGAAAACAATCCTGATTTTACACTAATTCCAGAAAATAATGAAAGCATTATGTACATGATCTTTTCCCAAGAAAATGTATCTGTGCACCAGGTGTTTTAAAATCAGTTAAATATTTTTAAGTGCAAAGGCCAGAGAAAGATTATTTCAGATATGTACGTATAGGGCCAGAAAGTACTCGACGAATATATATTCCTTGAATGTAAATTACTTAAGGTATCTACTCATTGACCCAAAAAATTAATCAAATTCAGAAATTGAGGAACAAAGAATACAGTAGAGTTCTCTCTAGAACTTTCCACAGATTGTTGCCAAACTTTCATAAGAGACTCAAAAAGAATCATTACTAAGAATGAATATACTCATCATACAAAATTAATGCTGAGTGTGGCTGCTTGGGCATCTCCGTTTATACTGGCCTCTGTCTGTATGTGACTAAAACAAAGTAATGTCAGCCTGGAAAACTGTCCTTCGCACTGAAATAACCCTGTAATAGGCAAGGTTTACTCCCTCATATTTAGGTTTACTGCCAGATTGATTCATTTAATTAAATAAGTTTGTAATTATATATATATTTTAAATACCATGTTTGGGAAAGATACAAATAGTTATATTTCTCTTGTTCTTCTTTTGGTTACTCTTAATTTCCATTGAAAGTATGAACACTAATAAAAAGTACTAAAGAGGAATATTTTTATGAGTTCTATAGATGAAGTCTGTAGTATATCTTATATAGTTCAATTAAATGAACTTGATATGCTTCTCAAGTTTCCATGTTATTGAGTAAAATGTATAACCTTCGTGAAGTATTTTTTTAAAGATTTTGACTAAAGGGGATTCTCAGGTTCCATTCTTGCATTCACATCTCCCTTTTACCACTTCTTGTGATTCTCAGGGCCGCCTTGAGGAGCAGGACTAACTTGTTCAGCTTATAGACTAGAGCTCCCAAGTTTATAAAGTGATTTGTAGGACCAACTTCCCCATTCATCAGACTGTTTCGGGAAACAAAAAGACCCTGAAATGGCCTTCCTCATTATACTCCCTCCTGACATTGCAAGGAAAAAAATAAATGCCCACAGAATACTGACCCATGTTCATCATAGCTAACAGAAGAAAACAACGTTTATAATAATAGATTTAATAACTCTCAAGAAACTTTAACAATCAATGTTGTAAGTAAATTATTTACACCAGGAACAAAATAAGAGAGATTCTTATAGTATCTGTTTAAATTAGCCATCTTGACCATTTTTGGATATTTTGAAAAGAATTGTAAGAAAATCTAAACAGACCAATTATCAGCAATGAAATTCAATCAGTAATCAAAAAACTATCCAAGAACAAAACCCCCATACCAGGTGGATTCACCGCTGAATTTTATCACACATTAAGAGAAGACATAATACCCATTCTCCTTAGAGTTTTCCAAAAATAGAAGAGGGCTTCTATGAAGCCAGCATCACTCTAATAGCCAAACCAGGCAAAGCCACCACAAAAAAAAGAAAACTACAGACCAATATCCCTGATGAACATAGATGCAAAAATACTCAACAAAATAATAGCAAAATTATAGTCAAGCCCAGTCAAGATGAGATGAAAAAGATAAGCACAGAACATCAAGAGGATCATATGCCATGACCAAGTGGAATTCATTCCAGGGATGCATCCACCACATCAACAAAAAGAAGGACAAAACCACATGATCTGAAAAAGCATTCAACAAAATTTAACATCCATTCTTGATAAAAACTCTCAATAAAATGGGTATAGAGGGCAAGTACCTCAACATAAAAAAGGTCATATACGACAAACCCACAGCCAACATTACACTTAAAAGCGAGAAGATAAAAGCTTTTCCCCTAAGATTGGGAACAAGACAAGGATGCCCACTCTCCCCACTTCTATTCAACTTAGTACTGGAGGTCCTAGCCACAGAAATCAGACAACACAATTAAATAAAAGGCATCCAGATTGGTAAGGAAGAAGTCAAACTATCACTGTTTGCAGAGGACATGATATTGTACATTAAAAACCCTAAAAATTGACTCCAAAAATAATAGAATTAATATCTGAATTCAGCAACATTGCAGGATACAAAATTAATACTTAAAATATGTTGCATTCCTATACACTAACTATGAACTAGCAGAAAGAGAAATCAGGAAAACAATTCCATTCACAATTGCATCAAAAGAAATAAAATACCTAGGAATAAACCTAACCAAGGAAGTGAAAGACCTATACCCTGAAAACTAAAAGACACTCTTAAGAGAAATTAAAGAGGACTAATAAATGTAAATTCATCCCATGCTCTTGGGGAAGAATAATTAATATTCTCAAAATGGCCATCCTGCCTAAAGCAATCTACAGATTCAATGCAATCCTTATCAAAATACCAATAGCATTCTTCAACGAACTGGAACAAATAGTTCTAAAATTCATATGGAACCACAAAAGACCCCGAATAGCCAAAGCAATCCTGAGAAGGAAGAATAAAGCAGGGGGGATCTCACTTCCCAACTTCAAGCTCTACTACAGAGCCATAGTAATCAAGACAATTAGAACTTTTAGAACAAATCAAAACTCTTAGAAGAAAAGAGGCAAAACTCTCTTGAATATAAACATGAACAACTTCTTCATGAACATACCTCCACAGGCAAGGGAAACAAAAGCAAAAATGAACAAGTGGGACTCTATCAAACCAAAAGCTTCTGTACAGCAAAGGACACCATCAGTAGAACAAAAAGGCATCCTACAGTATGTGAGAATATATTCGTAAATGACATATACGATAAGGGGTTGACATCCAGAATACACAAAGAGCTCACACACCTCAACAAACAAAAAGCAAATAATCAAATTAAAAAAATGGACAGAGGATCTGAACAGATGCTTCTCCAAAGAAGAAATTCAGATGGCTAACAAACACATGAAAAGATGCTCCACATCTCTAATCCTCAGAGAAATGCAAATTAATACCACAATGAGATATCACCTCACACCAGTTAGGATGGCCACCATCCAAAAGACAAACAAGAACAAATGTTGGTGAGGATGTGGAGAAAGGGGAACCCTCCTACACTGCTGGTGGGAATGTAAATTAGTTCAACCATTGTGGAAAGCAATAGGGAGGTAGTATCAAATGATTTCACTCATCTGTGGAGCCTAAGAACAAAGAAAAAACTGAAGGAACAAAACAGCAGCAGACTCACAGAACCCAAGAATGGACTAACAGTTACCAAGGGGAAAGGGACTGGGGAGGATTGGTGGGAAGGGAGGGATAAGAGGAAAAAGGAGCATTATGATTAGGACACAAAATATAAGGTGGGGTGGGCACACGGGAAAGGCAGTATAGCACAGAGAAGACAAGTAGTGACTCTATAGCATCTTACTATGCTGATGGACAGTGACTGCAATGGGGTATGTGGTGGGGACTTGATAATGGGGAGAGTCTAGTAACCACAATGTTGCTCATGTAATGGTACATTAATGCTACCAAAAAAAAAAAAGACTTGTAGTCATCCCAGCCAAGATGATTCGAAAAAGATAAGCATAGAACCTACTACCTTCAGTGAGATCTCTATAGAAAAGATAATTCTACAACCTTTGGAAACCCACTGACAACATTTAATAAAATTTTCATGATGTACTTACGTTACAGAAAGAAAGATTTAAAGCTCTTTATGAGAAACAGCATTGTCTCTAGAGCTGAGGAATTGGTCACAAGGCAGTGGGAATAAGGACTCCCTTCTATTGAGCTCCATGCAGTTTACAAAATATATTTTATTGAACCTGTTGTGAGCTTTATCAGCCAAGTAAAATGCAAGAAATACAGTGCCAGCAAATAATAAGCATTAATAATTCAGTTTATTAACTTGAGGCTTCACAAAAACCTTGTAAGACAGGTGATACTAGTCCCTATTTTGCAGTTGAGGAAAAGGACTCAGCGAGGTGATCTAACTTTCTCAAGGTCACACAGCAGAGGTCACTTGAAAACACAAGTTTAATATGAAAGCTTCTACAGAAGAGCCTGCTGTACTGTGGCTTTTTTGTTTTTAAGAAGATATTATATCAGTAGCTGAATTTTGTATTTTCAGGTTTTTTCTTACACTGCTGACAAAGAAATCCGAACAGATGACTTATGCTTGGATGTTTCAAGACTCAGTGGACCTGTAATCATGCTGAAATGCCACCACATGAGAGGGAATCAGTTATGGGAATATGATGCTGAGGTATAGTATTTTCCTTAATTTACTTATTATTTAATACTCAAACTCAGTTATATATTTCAAGTACATTTAAACCCCAAGCTGTTTATTTTTTCTGCACTGAAGAACTATATTTTCAAGCACACATGCTCATAGCTGATAACATTAGGATGGTGAAGCTTCTAATATAAGTAGATTTTTGCTAAACTAGTCCATTAGGATAAAACATGAATGAGAAAATAAAGTCATTTTTATGTGTCTGAAATTTGTTTTCACATGTACATGCTCAACGTAAGTTGGGCAAGGGGCAGGCTGTGCCTACCTGGCAGTTATGTATGAAGATGTACCTACAGGCCTAGATCAACAAAAATTCCATATTTTCAATTTTTAATTTTTACACTTTTGTAATCTGTGATATACATGCTCCTCAATTTAAAGGGAAAAAAAAGACAAAAGCTGACAAGCTTAGCATAAATGCTCTTTATAATATTAAATACTTTGCAGAATTTAATAAACAAATTATGTACATAATCAGCTAAGCAGAATTTTCTCAAGCTAGCACATCCTTCCAGTAGAAAAGAGGGAGAAAAGAACAGTAAAATTACTGTTCAGAATTTATGGCCAGGCAATGTGTAAAAACCAGATCAACCATCAGATGGAGCTAATAAAAAAGAAATATTTTCCTCTGCATAAGGAAGCTGCCTTGAACAGCTTCACTGCTTTCAGTTCTCTTTGCTTAGCAAAATGAATTGGTATCTGTTAGATTTTCCATATTACTAAATGGCTGGTGACTTATTTAAGATAACAAACTTTATTCTTACCAGATAAATAATACAATAGAAGTAAATGAATTTCACAAATGCAGTGTTCTAAGCAAGCCTAAAGTATTCTGCCAGCATAACATTTTATAGACCCATCTAAAGAATTGTTGGTATTGAAATTTTAACAAAATATTCATTTAAAAACCTTTTGAATGTCCTTTAAGCTGCATGATATTGTAATTTCTTAAGCGGGATGCCAGGAAATCTTACTGAATTCTTACATGATTTGAAACAGGTAGCACAGGGTTAAAATTTGGTGCTAAAATTTATACAATATTACCAAGCTCTTGGACACAAAATATTCTCCTTCTGGGACATAATTAAGGATAAGCACCCTGAATCCTTCCTGTATCACACCAGGGTGTTCTATTCAGACTCTTGTCTTCTCAATAGCATATTCACCTTCTTGGTCAAATCACACTTGTTCTGTCTTCAACTACTATCATCAACGCCCTTTATATTAAGACTACAGAAGATATTTCTGCCAATAATACATGTGGGTAAACCTAGACCCTTAGTCAGTTCCCTACATCTATGAGGAAAAGTAGAGATAAATATATATATAAGGAGAAATAAATAAATGTATATGTAAAGGAGAAATCCTGCAAATGGTTGTTTTCTTTTTTTAATAAAACTTTTTGCTGTTGTTCTTTAGTTTTCACCGGGAACCCAGGCTTGTGCTAAAAATAAAGCAATCTATTATATATTTATATGGAAAGGGGAATAAGTGTACATATTCTTTACAAGATGAAGCAATGTTGAATTTCACAACACCACATTTCATCTTTAAACTTGTCTATAATTTTTGAGTGGACAACTGCTTTTATAGTCATAACTCAAATTCCTTCATTTCTGAAATAACTGTTTTTGGTAATGAGGTATATATTTTTGTTTATATTTTTATCAGCCAACTGGGAGATTATTAAATAATAAGGGATTTTGAAAGAAAAGTATAAAAAAATAGCTTCACCTAAGATAAAGAAATTTTTTTCAAAAATTTGCTGTTTTGGATGACTAACAGTTATCAATTGAAGCATTTTTAAAGCATTGTAATATTTTGTGTCATATAAACTTTCCTTCTAGAGCACATACAAAAAAGCTTATAATATGCCATAAACATTGAGAAGTACTTATTTTAAATAATCTAATCATTTTAATAATTGTATAACATCGTTTAATTCACTCTCCTAGTTTAATTTCTAAATTATGCTCCTAGTTTAATTTCAGAATTAAATAGTGATGTTCAACTTCTCTAAATTTTAAACCATACTGTAGGGTTTTTTTTTTTTTTGCCAAATTAAAAAATTTATAAATCATAATGTAGAGAAGCCTCATGTAAAGACAATCATTGTAGGACTAACACATTGCCTTTGTGGAAATTTCAGCTTTGAAATAAAAGTTTGATTTTATTTGTGAAGAAGTCAGAAAAATGAAGATGATTTTTTTAATGAAATTGAAATACATTTTTTTTATCATTAACTTTTCTTTAAGTTTTAGGTTTATGGTTACATTAGTCTGCAGAACTCAACCACTGCTACCCAAAGTGTGCTTCTAGGACTAGTGACATCACCTGGGAACTTGTTAGAAATTAGAAATCTGAATTACCACCCTAGATACACTAAAGCAGTCTGCACATACATACATTTACATACACATTAAAGTTTGTGAAGGACAGATCTGGGCAGTGGCTGAACATCTACTTATCTTCCTTTGTTTGGTCTCTGTTGGAAAATATTGCAATGTTAGGAAAAGGCATTCAAACCCTTTGGAAAATGGCAAGACCTCCAGGAGAGATGGTGGAGGGAATTGTGGCATGAAAGATGGAAGGAAAGAGGAGGAATTGCCAGGTAGCTCCAGTCTTCTCATATTCCAACCAGTGGACAGCAGACAAGCGCACCTCACTACTTCTTTCATTCAGTTATTTGTCTACTACTATCAAGACTAAATTATTCTTCTTTAAGAAACCTCAGAGGTGGTGTACCTACTTTCAAAGTAGAATAAAACTTAGTGGAATTCACAGAATTATAGTGCATAAAGTTACCTTAAAATTCTCTCTTCCAGCCTTTATCAGGAGCAAACTAAAGCACAAAGATCACACTGTCACTCCGCCAGTGGCAGAGGAAGTTTAGGTCTAATCAAGTAATCGAAGAAAGCTAGTTCAGTACAATTGTGAATCTCACAGTGTGAGCAGCTGAAATATTCCATCACCACATTTCTCATAGTCCTTTCAGTCATAGAAAAGTAAGTTGTAAATAGGAACAGAGGTGTTGGAATATCCAGAGAAAAATCAAAACAGTACCATAAAGCCTCAAAATAAGGAGCCTGTCCAGCTGCTTTGGTTTCTTTACTTCTTAGGTGAGTGGGGAGAAAGAGAAGGGAATGAAATTTATTGAGTGTCTATAATTTACTCAGTTTTCTCATGCCATTCTAACAATAGTCCTATAAGATAATATTACTATTATTTGTGTTCTTCATATTGGTAAACATAAGCTTAGGGTGTTTAAATGCCTTTTCTAAATTTGTACACCCCAGGTTTCTGGCATTAAATCCAGCAATCTTTCTACCACACTATGTTGTCTCTTGAGGTTACTGAAAACTAGAAACAATTAAATGCTTTCAATGATGATGATCCAATAAGCTAGATATACACTATGATAAATGAAATAAATTATTACATACTATGAATTATTTGCAGTACCAAATTTCATTCACATATAATTTTTGCTATCCTTAAAGATTGGAAAGATGTTCAGCAATAAATTTTGTCTATTTAGACAGACAGGACTTCATCAGACTACCTTGTCAGTATGGTTTAATTGCTTACAAACTTTAGATATACATATTTGTAATATAGTTACTGATATCTAATTGCTTATCCTTTCATTTGAATGAAATTAAGTACCTGTTGGTGATAAATGCATGTCTTTGGCTAACTTTGGTTTGAAATATAGAGTTTCCCACTTTATTAACTAAATTATTTCTTCAGTAACAACCAAAAATTTAATTCTGTATCACCTTATGCCTGGCCAATTGTGTTCAATCTGGGGGCAATTGAGCAATATTAGCAAAACTGCAAGATTCAGCCACCTGCCACTGATCTAGAATCTCGTGAATAAATTACCTGAACACTTTGGTGCTCTGAAAGCTATGCCACAGAGTTAAAACAAAAAGGGGGGAAAAGCCTCTAAATTTCATCACGCTGAAACATTTAAAAAGTTGTTTTTATAAAGGTCTGTCATCCAGGATCCTATTTTATTCAGGTTTTCTTATATTTTTTTGGACATTGCTGTTGTGTTCCAATCCATTTGAAATTTACATTTTCCTGCAATGAGTGCATATAATCACATTTCTTTTGAACATCCAGACAGCTACATACAGTGTGCTCATCTAATTTTAGAACAGAATACTTATGCTCCACAAACACAAAGCAGCAAAGAAAAATAGGGGGAGCAAAATATGATGCTAAAAATAAGTCTTGTTTTTCATGTGACTGAGCAAGTTGACAGAAAATGCTTGTTATGAATTCAGTATTCCTCTGGATCAAACGCTTCCCAGAGTTACAATATAAGGATTTTTTTTCAGTGTTAAATATGTTGGACTGATATTTACTGAAATCACAGAAGCTTAGACTTTACTTAATACCTCCTTTTTTTATTCACCTTCATCAGAAAGCAGGTAAATGGGAATATAATTTCAAGGTAAGTGGTCTATAATGGCAACCCAGACATTTCCCTGTGTAGCATTCCTAGTAAAAACAGTCACTTGATTTACCTTTTGAAGGCCATGTATATCACACAACTATTACCTTCCATATTCCCTTTGGTCCATAGCTCTGATTTATGTAGACTCAATTAGTGAATAGAAATTGTGATAGTTTAGTATTACATTTTTAGTTCTTGTTTGTTGACCATTTACACTTGTTTTAAGAATACTCATATTCTGGTCTAATGAATGCACAGATCATTGTGTCAGGAGATCATAACACCTTTATTATAATAATTATAAAATAATTGTTATTCTGTACTTGATTGATAGGGGAAATCCTGCCATTGCTGTTAAATATCTGTAACAGTCTAAGTTTATTCTTACTTTGTTTATCATTTTATATAGTAACAATCAGTTGGGTTCTATTTTAAACTTTTAATATGACATCTTTTAAACTGAGACCTGTATGATTCTTTAATCAGTCATGCAGTCCTTTCT